GAGTGGAAGAGGGAGGGAGAGGCCCCATCGTTTTATAGTTAAATGAATGCACAAAGTAAATTCTAATTGCAACGCGTTTTCGACACACTTTGAACTTTTTCTATTCGCAGGAAACGGGGCGAACGTTAATTTTAATCATAGTGAACTATTATAGCGTCTCTGTTTAGAGAATTTACTCTGCCAGTGCAAGGGACGATCGCTTTCTTCCCTGAACGTGATCAAATGAAAGGAAACGTGACTTAAATACACTCGATACTTAAGCGATTAATTTCTCATCGAATACCGTGCAATATGACCGACTACAAACAAATAAACGAATCGTGATTTATTTATTGCCTACGAACCACCATTCAGGCGCTAACAATCAAGACTTGAACAGGATGAAAGAAAAATATACTTTAAGAAATTTATTACAGAAACTAGGTTAATATTTGTTATGACCGTAGGTGATTACTTATACACAGACACGGTGATTTACTTGTAAATAAAATTCTTTTGATAATAAAAGATAGTAAAAACCAGTTGACCATTTCCTTTAATTCGCCTGTGTGATATTCTTGAGATATATGAATCCAGGGCATTGATTACTGTAAATGTAATCATAGCTGATTTGTGTAACAATTCAATGAATAAATGTAATGTGCTCCTGAATATGTATTGTTAAATATAAGGTAAGTATGAAGATTGGAACATTTAAGTCCATTCACTTTTCACAGCAATTCCAATTACTGTAGTTATTGGACAATTAATTGAGATATCCTTAATTATTTTGGAGAATCCATTGAGTAATCTGTGGTAGATGAAGTAAAAAAGGTGGGTAATTTCTAAAATAATATTAAATATAGAAACTAAATTTTCAGTCAATGTCAAATGCAACAAGAAAACAGTGTAAAATAATAAAAAATTTGAGAAGGTATACATTTACATACCATCAGTGAATTTTCTATTAGTCCTACGAGCAGTGGATGACACGCTGCGAGATTAGTCCAGGGTGTGGAGGTCTTATTCTTTCCAGCAAATTTGAATTGGAAGACAAAATAGTGCGAATGTCACACTATACACACTTGAGCACTTGTTATGGGGTAAATGTTATCTTAAACACTTTCAAGGAACATTTGGGTTAATGATTGGTGATTAAAATTGAACTTTAGTGAAACAGGTAAAGGGCTTTATAGTCTAAAATCCAAAATGGATTATAAATAAAACATTGAAATCGAAAATAGCAAGTGGCATACTGAAAGAAGATTTAAGAGCTTAATAAGAAGAAATGGAATTATAATTGGTGGACAGTGTTGAACCTGAAACAGAAAGGATGGACTTTTAATATAGGAAAGACAATATTAGAATACTATAGTTCTTAAGTAACAAAGAAAAGTAAACGGAGATTAGAGTAAAAGTAGATGAAAAAAATAGAAAGATACGAGTATGACAATATATGACGAATTCTTATGGGAGCAGTTATCTATCAATTAAGATAATTTGTGTGACTGATTTTCTACACTGTTTGTTCATTGCAGTATCAGATATTTTTTAAATGAAAATTGGCAATTTCCGAGCGAATATAAAACAACTTTCCAGCCATTTGTAGCCAAAGAAAATGGCGCATTAAGTGGAAAATAGTAAAAAAAATTGTTGATCTTATGCAGCCTTTTAAGGCGCGATTAAAGTTACCCTGCAAAAATTAAAAAATAAATAAAAAGAGTATTATTACTCCATATTGCCATTGCATTTAATATTTTTTATACAGAACATTTTGAAACTAATTATTAACGAAATTAAAAGTTCTTTTTTCTAATAAACTAAAAATAATACATCTCTAGCATTTCTATCAAAAATATTATATTACTTTATATCTTAAAAATATAATTTATGAAAACTTCCCTACTTTACCGTCTTAAAATAAAATAACGAATGCTTTATATGTTATACACAAAATATTTGAATATAAATATTAAAATATAAACTTTACAAGAATCAGTTATCAGAAACATTACACGTTCTCCAGGAACCAAAGAAAACAAAATAATGGCACTATGTTATAACAATACCTAGCGAGCATAGCAAAAATGTTCAGTCTACAAATAAACAAGGCAAATATAAACAGTTGAAAACTGATTTTCCATAAAAAGCACTAATGGAAAACCATTTTTCTGCAGCAGCTCCCACGTCGTTCTCTTCTCTCTTCGGGCGATGCCCTGAAGATCCGCTCAAACATTCCAAGGCAACCATGTTAAAACAAGATAGTGAACATTTGAAACATGTTTGAGCGGATTTGATTTTTCGTCCAGGCCTAGAGCCGTGGGCGAGCTTACGATCTAGGTAAGAACCAAACTGGTATCAATTAAACGACCATTAATTGATCCCATTTATAATTATTTCAGGCACAGACTCATCACCTAGGCCTACCCAAATGAGAAATGTGATGGTCTAGTGTCCTGACCCTTCCTACTTACAATTAAAACATTCACACCAGAAAAAATGACCTGCCTGCCTAGTCCTATATTTAAATAAAAATGGCAAAATACATTCTCTCCAACACACACGCTCCACGGTTCTCACACATAACGCCCGGGTGCTGGGGCCTACACTAGAGAGATGCGTCCCGGGACGCCTCCGTCACCCGAGCTTGTAGCACACAACACTCATGCTCTAATTAATACGTACCAATGCTGAAATCGACTGACAAACTAGCGTGCTTTGCGGTACTCTAATTATATGATTCGTTTAATATAAATCTTTCTATAGGACTCTGTTCAACTTGATGTTGTATGATGCAAAGAAGTTACAATGATACATTATAATATTCATAAAAGTTTATTTTTTTAAATTTCATATTTTATATTTGATATGATTGATTTTAAACTTTGTTTCTAGTTAATCATCTATTTCTGATTAATGTATTCTGCAAGTAGTCTTGTTTGATGACTTAATTATTATTTACAATAATGTAAGTTATAAATTATAAATATACAGACTATGCATTGAAAAGGTATTCATTCATTTATATGAATATGAACATTAAAATTAAATATGTTGCTTTCTTTCTGACATTTTATATTGTGCAATGGATTACTCAAATTAAGTGGTACTTTAGTGCAAAATTTTTCATAACTGTAGTGGAAAGGGTTAATGACCGACGCATTTCCCACTGCCTAATCACACACACACACACACACACACAAATTAGTGGGAATACGTCGTACACGACGCGCTAGAATATTGTCAGTCGCCGAAGAAAATCTTAACTAAACCATACCCATCGCTGTCACCCATATGACGCACACCTGGGTGCGTCAATGGGTTCAAGCTGGAAAATATGAGTATGGGCAAAGGGAAGCTCACCTACCGTTGGCTTGCTGAAAATCCTAAGCTAAAATATTAATTAAAACAAGTGTCAAACGGACTAATTTTTTTATTAATTATAAGTTTCAATTCAATTAATATATCTGAATGTATTTTAAGCAAATAAAACAAATTACATTGCTATTAAAAAAATTGATATTTGTATACAGGACATGTTCTAATATTGATATACCTACAAAATTGAAAAAGTTAGACTCTATTTGATATCTAGAATTTATTATTTTAATCTCATTCATATTCAACAATAACCTCGGTTGATCCTGTTTCGAAGTGAACGTTATGAACATGAGAAATTGCACATGCGAATATTACTTCGAAGTCAAAATCTGACCGTCGCGAATTGTCTTCTTGCTCATAAATATTACGTGTAGAATTATACTCATATGTTATTCGTAATATAAATAGATACTACATCTCACAATATTTATGAGAAACGAATAAATTAGTCATAGTGTTGATACTATGACTAAATAATATATTTACAAGCGCAAAAATGATTATTATATAAAACATTAAATAATCAACATGAATTAATCTAATTATAAATTAAAAAATTTCATTTCACAAGCAACTTTCATTTATGAAATCGGAGGGTCGTCCAACTTCTAGTGTAAACGTTAATTTAAAAAACGAGGCAAGAAGACCCTAGCCTATTCTAATAAATATACAATGCAAAATTTATGTAAATAGTTCTTGCTATTAGCTTCTCACGAGTACTCATTCATTCGTGTGTCGCTATGTTCGCTTTAAATATAAAAAAGGAAATAAAAATTCGGATTCAACGACTCACCGGTCGGTGAGTACTCTTGCAAACAGCTATAGGCTGCAACCCCTTTGCACCTGGACATCTTGGTTGCCACTTCTCTGGATGCGACCTTCAAATGAAAATATTCTTTAAATATTTATAATTTCAAACGGGGACATTACCTACAGACATCCTAAATATTGGTCAACTTTAGGAATTAATTTGTTTATAACTATCAAGTGAAAACTTCTGATTTTTTTTGGGTGTATAAGTGTAACCATCTGCTTTACGTTTATGTTTTTCTAAGCCAAGATGTTACAAAATGTCACAGTCATTTGCTGAGAGCCATTTTGTAACATTTTGGTTTAGAAAAAATATAAATATAAAGGAGAAGATTACAGTTATAGACCCAGAAAAAATCAGAAGTATTCATTAAATAGTTATTAACAAAAAAAATTCTTAAAGTTCACCTATATTTAGAATGTCTCTAGGTGTCTCCCCTCAAATAATTAATTATTGTAAAGGATCCAGTGAACTCACCTCTTATTCTTCAAGTAAGAAACTGCCAATTGTGCCTTTTTCAACAGGCCTTCTTGATACCTGGATCATATCTGTAATAAAAAACCAAACCACATGTTTAATATAAAAGTTTCTATGATATCATCAGTGTACATTAATTCATTAGAACTTATACTTACATATTCTTCAGTGATGCTGCACCTGATGGAGATCCTCTCCTCTGCTTAACATTAACTGACTCTACTTATACAGTAATACTGCGGTTGCAAAAAAATATTTGAAGCCGCGCGCGTGCCCCATAAAAAAAAAAATAAATTCGCGGTGCAAACACTGACTCCATGATCGCATTTCGCACGATCGCAAAACTTCTCTGAAAGAAATAACTGTTAAGACATATAAATAGCAAACAATGCAGAATATTCATGTACCAAAAAATTATTGTTAAAAATAAAAAAGACAAAAAAAAATTAGCAATATTCCGTAATATTTAAATAATATTCATGTGAATTATTTATTTATATTCAGTCATATTTTGTCATACTCGATTGTAAAAATAGAAGTTGAAATGCCAAATATCATTTTTGTAAAGCCTTACCCATAAAAATGATAAATAAATAGCGTTGAAACCCCTCCTGTTCCTTGAAGTCCGATAATTGCTCGGAATTTTTCTGTAAAATGGAAAGAAAATGCCATTACTTAATATAAAGAGAAGGAAAAATGAATAAATTTAAATAAATGAATGCTAGTAATGTTCATTAATGCGTAAAAACAATATCATCGGGTTAAGAAAGGAATAAAATAACGTGGCAATTTGGAATTCGCAGGGAGAAAATTTTAAATCCACTTTTCTTGCAAATTAAGGGTAAACTTTTTAGAATAATAACTCACCGTGTTCCTCTCGCGTTAATATAACTTTTTTCATGTGTTTGAACCACAGAAATATCCAAAAATTCAATTAAAAACGAAAATTATTGAAGAGCGAAATGAACACGACTTTCCACACGTGAAATTCAAACTTGACTATGCAGCTCGTACGTGATTGGCCGAAAATATTGCGAAACTTTCGCGCCACTTTGCTATATGTTTGAATAACGCGGGAAATTTCCAATTCACTTTTCTTCCGAATTATTAGACAATTCATGGCAATATATATATCGAAATATTTTTCTATCGTTAATTTCATGTTTTCCATACATTTTAACCACGCGAACACTAACAAATTAAGTAAAAAAAGCGACAATCCTGAAAAATAAAATCTAGACGCAAATGCGAGATTCAAAGCAAACAGTCAATATTCGAACGTGATTGACTGAAAATCTTGAACAAATATGGCGTGTTCTCCTCTTCTGCGCGTGCCAACTGCGCAGTGAAAATCTACATTTTTCGCGCGTGGTCGAAAGGAATCGACATTTACGTTAAATTAAATTCTTAATTATACCTTCTTATAATCAAATAAAGAAATAACTGAGAAATTATTTTATTTACTTTCTGATGTCTTATAACGAATATCTATATTTTATTAGATTTCATTATAAATTAGGAAAAGAAGAATTCATTATAAATTATGATCAAATAAAGAAATAAATGAGAAATTATTTTATTTAGTTTCTCATGTTTTATAACGAATATCTATATTTTATTATATTTCATTATAAATTAGGAAGAGAAGAGATGCCGGTACGCAGTAAAGTCAAAGTTTAAACTTACATTTTTCTGCTACAAATGCTACTATGTCGCCAAAAATCATTGTCCATCGTTTTAAAAACACTTATGTCACTAATTTTATTATTGCTTAACCGCGAAACAGAATTAAAACTTCTAAAAACTGAATAATTGTTCACTCGTGGATGAACGATACAACCACCACGAGATTCCAACGGCTAATGAAGCGTGAAGATATAGATGGAACCTTTTGACATAAATCCGAAGTCCTGATTGGCCAAAAACAAAGAACGCAATATTTCCTCCGGGGGGCGTGGTGGGGGGTACACCATTACTTACGACAATCGAAAAATCTTCAAATTTAATCCAATAGAAGTTAAATAATCTTTAATAAATTTACCTAATTATTGCTCTTTCATTTCCGGCCTCCCATTTCGTTATTCAATGAAAGGGAAATATTAGAAACAATGATTGGAAAATGGAACATGCTACCAGATAGCAATCGGCAACAATGTATAGAGAATTGTTTTACACCCTGATTGGCCCAGCTTCCCGCGCAAAACTGACACAATGGAAGATTAACAAATGAATGTCAATTTTATTGCACTATAAGTTACTTTATCGAACCTTTCGTCAAAAAAATAGAAGAAATCGAACCGTGGAACACCCCAGTTTACACATATATCTTTTTCGAACAAAATAAACGATCGGAAATGTTTACAAAAGTGAGAAGGAAAATCGGTACCTCGCAATGAAACCTGACACCCTCGTGTTTAGACACTTGAGAACCTACTTGTCGGCTATAATAACACTTACACGATACAGAACTTGATATTGCATACATTTTATTCGGTTTACAGAATATTTTTAAAAATTTATATGATATAATTTTTTATAAAGATTGTTTACTCACCGAAGCATGGAGAACACGAGGTACCGGGATAAGTGGTTTATTGGATTTCGGTAACTACGTAATCTAGAAGTTGATTTTGCATGAATTATTAAGGAGACAATAGTAGAAAGGGTAGAAACTAGATTATTAGTAACTAATAATTATAAATCTGTTGTTAATCAAGAATTTTCGTAACTTTTGTAACATTCATATCGTGCTGCGTTACAAACATTGATACAATTATCGATTACGATCGAATGTCACTTGAACATTGTTAAATTTGCTAAATTTTTAGATTCACAGCAACTTGCCACACTAAATAACACATTCCTCTAATTAGAGTTACGTTTTTCTGTTATAAAAATGAATAAATATATTAATTTACACTCCCGCATTCACTTACCACGAAATTCTACTTTTAGTGATTAGTTATCTGAATGACTGTGGCACCATAGTCTTGTTCTGTTAATGTTAACTTCCTTCATTACCAACACATATAAAACCTGTAAAAAGGGAATTATAATTTTCCCAGTTCATAGTTAGATGACGCCACCAGTCACTTTTTTTTAGTTCATTTCACTTTCTCGTTAAATCATTAATAATTGTAGTTTTTAATACAAACTTTTTGTACAATATACATTAATTAATATTCTTTAAAAATAAAAGATTAATATTGTTTTTCTTTTCATCCCTTTTCATGAGATTCGAAATTGTAGTTACGGGGTTGCCCGTTTAAATGCGCCACAGCTCGGTTGCCTCTCTTTTACTACCATGTTAATATATATCTGTTCTTTTTAGTGTTGAGTTGTGCAGCTATGTTCATGTAAAAACATGTATGCTGTCGATGCTGTCGATATTACTGAGTTCTACTGCTGCGTTTGTGTAAAATGGGATTAAAAAGAACTTTGTGGTATGGATTGACTTGTTATCTGTTCAGTTTGAGAAAAGTTTAACATTTTTCATTTACGCAAAAGCATTATTCAGTTGTGTTTATAGTACCATTTAGTGTATGATGAAATGAATGCGTCTTTCATGTATAATTTTTAAGCTTTGCCATAGAGGTTGTGGTTTACTTGATCAATAGTAAACATTTTTTCCAAAATTTATTGTTTTAATGTGTGTACGTTTTTCTCATACTCATTTTGGGAGATGTGGCTGATCAAAGTTGATTAAACGTGCATCAGACCCAAACATTCACCTTTTTCTATTGTGTTTGCAGAGAATATTAGAATCTAAAATAAACACTCAAAGATGGATGAAGTTTCGAAACTTGAACACTTATCATTAGTATCAAAGATTTGTACAGAATTAGAAAATCATTTGGGATTAAATGATAAAGACTTAGGTAAGTCTAATAATATTTATCGAATACTAAAAATTCTATAAAGCAGTCTCATAGTTTCATGTATTCTGTTTATATTGCAGCTGAGTTTATCATTCATTTGGCAGAGAAAAATAATACCTTCGACAAATTCAAAAAGGTTCTGCTGGAAAATGGCGCAGAATTTTCAGTGAGTGGTTTATATGAACTACATTTCATTTTCTTTTTCATCCTATAACATATGACCATTTTTTCAGGAATCATTTATGGCTAATCTTTTGAGAATAATACAACATATGAAACCGTCCAAAACAATGCAGGACAAACCTTCATTATCTATAGCTAAACAAGACGAATTAGCTCAGAAATTCCCTGCCCTGGCTATACCAAATGAAGAGCCGAAGATAATAGATGGTAAAGAACTCAAGGATGATGATATAGTTAGTAGTGCAATGGCAAGCTTGGAAGAATTGGCACCATCGAACAAAAAATCTAATAATGAAAAAAAGGTCAGCCAACCACCGGATAATGATAAAAAGAGCAAACATTCTAGAAGAAGCAGATCAAAAGATAGAAGAAGACACAGGTCGCGTTCGTCTAATCGCAAAGATAAAAGGCACAGATCTAGATCGCGTTCTAGATCTAGAGATAGGAAACGTCATAGGTCAAAGGATCGCAGAAGATCCAGGTCACGGGATAGAAAGCCTCGTGAACACAGAGATAGACATTCTGGTAGACACGGGTCAGATAGATCCAGGTCAAAATCCATAGAAGAGCTCTCTATGGATCCAGAAGTTGGTAAAATTTATTCTGGCAAAGTTGCCAATATTGTTCCTTTCGGCTGTTTCGTACAATTGGAAGGCTTAAAACGTAGGTGGGAGGGACTCGTTCATATTTCACAATTAAGGAGGGAAGGAAGAGTTGCCAGTGCAAGTGATGTGGTATCCAGGGGTCAGAAAGTCCTCGTGAAAGTCCTCAATATTGGCGGACAAAAGGTATGAAACAAAACACATTATTTTGATTTAATTTACAATGTCACTTACTTAAATGAAACATTCGCAGGTTTCCTTGAGCATGAAAGATGTTGATCAAGAAACAGGCAGAGACTTGAACCCGGTAGTAGCCGTCGCTAAAACCGAAGAAGATGAAAAACATTTACGTAATCCAGACAGACCAACGTCATTATTGGAATTGCAAGGCAATTGGGACGAAGATGAAACTTGTTCTAGGAAGCGTGTACAGAGACTATCATCTCCTGAGAAGTGGGAGATAAAGCAGATGCTTGCTGCATCTTGCATCGACAGGAGTGAATTGCCCGAGTTCGATATGGAAACTGGAATTCTTCCTCGTGAAGACGACGAGGAAGAGGACGTAGAAATTGAACTGGTAGAAGAGGAACCACCTTTCCTACACGGACACGGTCGAGCGCTTGGAGACTTGAGTCCTGTTCGTATCGTGAAAAATCCTGATGGTTCGTTAGCGCAAGCTGCAATGATGCAAAGCGCATTAGCAAAGGAAAGAAGGGAACAGAAAATGCTGCAAAGGGAACAAGAAATGGATTCTGTTCCCACGGGTCTCAACAAAAACTGGATTGATCCTTTACCGGAAGCCGAGAGCAGAACTCTAGCAGCAAACATGAGAGGAATCGGCCTGCAGACTCAAGATCTACCCGAGTGGAAGAAACACGTAATAGGTGGAAAGAAATCGTCCTTCGGAAAGAAAACGAATCTGACTTTGCTCGAACAACGTCAGAGTTTGCCGATATACAAGCTGAGGGACGATTTGGTGAAAGCTGTAACGGACAACCAAATCTTAATTGTAATCGGCGAAACAGGATCAGGGAAGACTACTCAAATCACGCAATATCTGGCTGAGGCAGGATTCACAGCGCGAGGAAAAATCGGCTGCACGCAGCCTAGGAGAGTAGCTGCCATGTCCGTCGCGAAAAGAGTAGCGGAGGAATTTGGTTGTAGATTAGGTCAAGAAGTGGGTTACACGATTCGTTTCGAAGACTGCACGGGTCCGGAGACTAATATAAAGTACATGACTGACGGTATGTTGCTTCGGGAGTGTCTGATGGATCTTGACTTGAAAACCTACTCGGTTATAATGTTGGACGAGGCGCACGAACGCACAATTCACACTGACGTTCTGTTCGGATTGCTGAAGCAAGCAGTCGGAAGGCGGCCAGATCTGAAGCTTATTGTGACCAGTGCTACCCTAGATGCTGTGAAGTTTTCACAATACTTCTTCGAGGCTCCTATTTTCACCATTCCTGGCAGAACGTTTGAAGTCGAAGTGATGTACACGAAGGAACCGGAGACGGATTATCTGGACGCTGCGTTGATAACTGTAATGCAGATACACTTGAGGGAACCACCAGGGGATATACTTCTTTTCTTAACCGGTCAAGAAGAGATCGACACGGCTTGTGAGATTTTATACGAGCGAATGAAATCTCTGGGTCCAGATGTGCCGGAACTCATCATTCTGCCAGTGTACTCGGCGCTGCCTTCAGAAATGCAAACTAGAATATTCGAGCCAGCTCCGCCAGGCTCGAGGAAGGTGGTGATAGCTACAAACATAGCTGAAACAAGCTTGACCATCGATGGTATTTATTATGTCGTGGATCCAGGTTTTGTCAAGCAAAAAGTGTACAACTCTAAAACAGGAATGGACAGTCTCATAGTGACACCGATCAGTCAAGCAGCTGCCAAGCAGAGAGCGGGTAGAGCTGGTAGAACTGGTCCAGGGAAATGTTACAGACTTTACACGGAGAGAGCTTACAGAGATGAAATGTTGCCCACGCCAGTCCCAGAAATCCAACGCACCAACTTGGCAACTACAGTGCTACAATTAAAAACGATGGGCATTAATGACTTGCTGCACTTTGACTTCATGGATGCGCCGCCTGTAGAATCACTTATCATGGCTCTGGAATCCTTGCATAGTTTGAGCGCGTTAGATAACGAAGGCCTCTTAACCAGATTGGGGAGAAGAATGGCGGAATTCCCATTGGAACCTAATTTATCCAAGATGCTGATTATGAGTGTGCATCTGCAGTGTTCCGATGAAATATTGACAATCGTCAGTATGTTGTCCGTGCAAAATGTTTTCTACAGACCAAAGGATAAACAGGCATTGGCTGATCAAAAGAAGGCGAAGTTCAATCAACCAGAGGGTGACCATTTAACCTTACTGGCAGTCTACAATTCCTGGAGAAATAATAAATTCAGTAATGCCTGGTGTTATGAAAATTTTGTACAAATCAGAACACTGAAACGTGCGCAAGATGTTCGCAAACAGCTGTTGGGTATTATGGATAGGTAATTGATTATTCATATGATATTGAAATATACATAACTTGATTGCAGTGTATTATTAATATATTATATTTTATTCATCAGGCATAAATTAGATGTTGTATCTGCTGGTAAAAACACTGTGAGAATCCAGAAAGCTGTGTGTTCAGGCTTCTTCAGGAACGCTGCGAAAAAGGACCCCCAAGAAGGGTACAGAACATTGGTGGATAGTCAGGTAGTTTACATTCATCCGAGCAGTGCTTTGTTTAATAGGCAACCTGAATGGGTAAGTAAATTGAAGATCAAGTTCTCCGATTTTTTTTTACGACAAGAAATAGACGACTAATTAATTCGAATTTGTTAATGTTGCTACAGGTTATTTATCACGAACTAGTACAAACCACTAAAGAATATATGAGAGAAGTAACAACCATTGATCCAAAATGGTTAGTGGAGTTCGCTCCGGCATTCTTTAAGTTTAGCGATCCGACTAAACTCAGTAAATTTAAGAAGAATCAGCGATTGGAACCACTTTACAACAAATACGAGGAACCGAATGCTTGGCGAATATCCAGAGTCCGCAGAAGACGTAATTAAGATATTTATTACACAATCTGTAAATAATTTTGTACAGAGTTTCATATTACATGAAAATAAAAAACACGTGTAATTAGTGCAAGTCCATTATAAGAAAAAACTCTAAAATCACAGGCATTGCGATATTCGTTTCTTTCAGTTTCTATATTCGTGTATAATACAAAATTGAATGAATTACTGTAATATCAAATGAAATCGGGAAATACATTTACATTGAAATAATATATATATTTACACTAATCTTTTCGATAACGCTTCTTTTCTTACACCGTAAATCTTATAGAATAAAGTAAATGATAACGTTTATATAGAACAACTGTGCATTGCATAAATGTATAATATTAAATTAGAGAATCGATAATATTTCTAAAAATATGTGAGATGGACTGCATGGTACATCTCATTTTAACAAATGCAATGCAGATTATGCGTGATTAATCCTCGTTACAGAAATAGCAAAGTATTATGTGCTGTGATATTGTATCATACACTGTCTTTTGTATTTGTGGAGAAGTGAAGTGCATAATTAGATGAATGATACCGGTACAAGTAGAATGTCAGTCTCAAAGAACAGGAGAGTGTTCAATCATTATATTTTGTCAGTCTTTTCCTCTTAATTAATTATTAAATTTATTAAATAAATACATTCTCCAGAAACATTTAATAATAGTAAGAGCAATATCTCCTCTTTACGTATAAAGTTCTGTCACTCTTAATGCAATTATATTTTAATCGTTTAATTTTTGTATAAGAGAATCCTTAAGAAATCTGTAATTCATTCATATGAAATGTTGTACAACAGCCTTGGAAATATTCAGTTTCACGAGATATAAATTGAATACCATTTCTGGACTTGATTGTATGGACTACACGTTTTGTCGAAGGAACATCTTGTACATGGCAGGCTACTGAGTTTGTTGCTTCTTTTTAACTAATTCCACCAACTGCCTATACCTCGTTTGGCACTCGTCCTTTAAAAGAGAAACACGGAATTTTATCTGAAAATGAATTGTACTTAAATATATGAATACTATACCTTTGTTTTCCCTTCAACGCAATTCGCTATCTTTTCCCACCTATCTACAGACCCGCCTTTACGATACTTTATAAGCGCTGCTTCGAACGCTTTTTGCTGATCTTGACTCCAATCGTTGGCATTATCTGCGTTTTCAACACGCGTTTTTATCTTTTTTGGACGTTCTTCTACCACAGTTTCCTCCTGAAAGGAGCCGGGCTTTAAGCCTTCATCTTTCACCTGTTAAAAACATATTCTGTAAAACGTTCATTCAGTTAAGTATTCAATATCTAAATAATGAAAATAAGCACCTTCTTTGCCATGTATGTTACATCTGCAACTGTACGATTCATGGTCTCTGCAATCTTATCCCATCGCTCTGGTGTACCACTAGGGTATTTTTTCACAAGTTTTATTAGTTCTAATATGTCATCATCCACCCATAACGCTCCACTGGATGCAGTTGCTTTTTGATAAATATGATTAGTTTGATCATTGGTTTTCTTTGTGACATCTTTGTAATTGTTACCACTCCTTTCTTGCGGAGTGAACGCAGGTCTCCGCCTTCTAGTACGAGACACGGGCTCGATTTCTGGTTGTTCATTCTCTTGTGCTCTAAAATAGTATATACAGAAATTCTAAGAACAAAAGCGAGAAATAATAACTATAACAGGAAAACATTCTAGTTTGAAATTAAACATTCTTCACTCACAATGCCTCCTCTTCCTCTTTTTTCCTGCGTTTTCTTTCTTCTAGCAGATTAAACATTGCACGCACAATACTGGGTATGGATAAAGTAAAATTTACAATCCATCGTGGAAATTGGAATGGAAGAGTATTCCAAATGCTCGGCGTAGGAATCTTTTCCAAAATATCTGCTAAATCTGGTACATCCATTTTCCCCTTTTTATTCTTTTTCTGCATCTTTTGAAGTTTACTGCCTAACACTTGCTCCTACAATGTATACGGAATTGCTTCATTACCGAATTTAACGCAACCTTCTTCAATATTATAGACATTTCACATACATATGTATATCTCTTCTCAAAGTATGCACCCCATGCTACTAGATATTGTCCAACCGTAAAGACTAAGAATAAAATTATACTTAATTCTACAAGCCCCATTTTCCGCACATGGCGGTAATAATATACAGCCGACCGCCAGTTTGGCAGTCCATTCACCAATACATTATCGTAACGTTGCCGCTTCCCAGAATCTTTCAATACATCATATACAGCAACTAGCTGAAAAAATGAAATTTTCACATCGGTTTTCCTTAAGATTTCAATAATTTTTCGACATTACCTTCCTAAACTGCTGTTCCGCGTCCTCCGCGGAGTTCTTATCTGGATGCAACTGTAGGGACAGTCGCCTAAATGCCTTCTTAATCTCCGAGGCATTCGCGGTCTAACAAAACATATGAATCAGTATCAGCATTTAATCAAAGAAAACAATGTTGTACCGAGAAGGAAACAAACCTGTGGGACACCGAGGACATCATAAAAGTTTTGATTGACTTCTTCGACGACATCGAACACCTCCAATTCGTCATTGTCCCAAGCGTTCGTGAACTGATACACGTCGAGAAAACATAAAACACCGAGAAATAGAAATGACAATTTCATTTTTTTGTATTCTCTGCTACGTATGTACAACCATATTCATCGACGACTTTCACATTTAACGCGTTCTGACGTGTTCACGCGGCAATCATCGCTTCTGTCCCCGACGTACACGTCGGTCAAGAAATAAAGGAAAACACGTTAAAACGGAAAGTGCCACATCGCAAGCTTCCAAAGAGGTTACGTTGTTCAGGAAACGTAGGCTATGTGTGCCGTTGAAGTATGGAAAAAGTGGGATTCCTATGATGGTGTACGTGTGTGTCCGTGTTACATAGCGACTCAAGAGACCTCTGCACTTTGCACGGTCTAAAGATCCGTTCTAAGGTCGCGACATTGTATTTCCATTATTTATTATTCCATAACAATTTCCTGCTTTCCATTGGATATTATAATAAATATTACACAATGAATTTACAGTAAACCATCAACTGATATCTATCACAAAATATTAATTCATAATAAACATAGAAATATAAATATAACAATACAAATATAAATAGTAGCCTAAAACGTGAGTTTACAATACACTAAAATAAACTGAAAGAACGACAGCGATTCTGCCACGTGAATTGTCTATCATTGGTTCATTTGATTTCAAGGAACGCGTGTTACTTTCGCGCAGTAAAGGAAAAATATCTCGATATTTTAAGGTTATGCATCCTCTAAAATTTATTCGCAGCCTGGTACATCCCTGTACGCGATAAATTCACAGGAAAATCGAATAGCATGTGAAACCTCTCCTTATAAGAACACTTCCTAAAGGACAGTATACATATTCGCAAGGTGAACGTTCACGATTCGCAGGCGACGGTATTGCCGGTAAGGGTGCTGGGGAGAAGCAGGGAGACGATTGCGCGACCGGCGCACAGATGACACCACCGATTTCAGTGATTTGAGGTGCGGCGCAGACCGTGTGCGTGCTTTTGCATTCGCATGCATCACCGTTCCGGGGTGCAATTCTATTCGATCGAAAAATGTGTCTTCCGCTATATTTGAGCGCGACTCGGCGCACCGTTTTCGCGACCGTTCGCCTCTGAGGGATCGCGTTCCCCGTCCGGTTCCTGTGTCACGTTCTTGCGTTTCACTAGACACCAAATCTGTCCCGTAGCATTTTATGGGCCGTGTTCGACTCTGAACCGCATCGTTAATACCCTAGCCGCGGATGGTCGTCGTGCCTGGCGAACTCATCCGATTTCCCATCCGATTGTATTTATAGTGTCTCCTGGTTTATTTTTGCACGCGGCTCCTTTGGAAAAAAGGATGCAGCTATCCGCTGGCTGACAGCGTTTCCTTGTATCCGTAAGTCTCATTTTACCAAAAAACACAGCCACGAGATACAGTGGGAAAAAAGACTTGACGATATACAGTAAGGTCTTATTTGCATGTATTCGGCTGTCATGTGTGGGTGTGCGGGTCTCTGTTAAATGTACGTGTGTACGTATTTTGTATATATGTGCGTGAGTGGGTGTGCGTGCGTGTGCATATGATATATATGTATATGTGTGTATATATATATGTATGTATATATGGATAGATATACATATGCACATATATATGTATATATATGTATGCACCGAGGAATATGTACAAGTTTACCACATTATATTTCTGAATTTTCAATTTCCGTGTGTAGATCATTTCACATGAAATCATTAGGGAATCGTTGACGACGTTGATCTCTTGTTACACCAAGTGCAAGCAAATACGTAATTAGAACTGTACCGCAAAGGTGTTATTCTTAGCGTGAAAACATTGTAACGTTAGAACTCGGAGGACCGTTTTTATCTGTGCTAAATTCAATTTTCTTTTTACTCGAACGCGAACACCGTCGCGTGTCGCCGGGGAGTTGTCAACTCGTTGTTCGCGGATAAGTTGGAACATGATCAGCACTTCATACGTACAGTGTAACTAATAAAAATATTTCGTTGGCATCGCATTAATATCATGAACGTTCACGACATGTAACAGACAATTAACATGCTCGTTCGGATGAGAACAGAAAATGGTATTTCTGGTAAAAAGTTTCAGTGTACATGCATTCAGAAATTCTTTACTTAGAAAGTAATGCTTCTTATCTTGTGTGATAAGGAGTGCCTTTCTTTGCCGTTACACTCAGCATACTGGTTCACCTTAACATTCAAGATAAAGTTGTACTGATAACAACAATAGCGCATTTGTAAAATATTTGGTTGCGTAATATACCATTGGTGTTCAATGTTATAATCCAGGTAACAGTTATCACTGTGGCAGTAAGGAAGTTAGTCCTTTTGCTACAGTGTGAACGACTATATCTGTCTTACGATATCCAATAAGATAAGGTTCTAGGACTTTTTCGTATTATATTTTTCAATTACACCAACGTCGGTAACAAAAGGATTAACAGGTTTTTGTGAAATGTCTTTGCCCAAATGCTTTATAAACGTCATTATTATCTTCATTTATATAATATGTTCATCGGTATTGGTCATTGTGCATATTCGTCACGCTTAAAAATATGCTCACAAACTTCTCGCTCTAGCATATGTCCCTTTGTCCTTTAGTGTGGTGGTTTGTCTTCTTGTCCGGTGAGAGACGTGGATCTACCTAGTGCAAGTCGCTGGTATCCAAGTGAAAAGTATATAGTAAAGCACAGAAAAAAGAATGGAAGCAGCAATAGCTGGACGTAGGCGGACTGCCGCAAGACATTCAGCAGAGGATCAGGCTCTTGATCAGATAGCCAAGGAGGTATGGCCTGATTATTTTACAAGTATACAACACAATGGAATTAGGAACCAGGAAATAGAATCGCAGAGAATCTTTTATTCCCTATGAGAATTCATGTTGATAAGAAAAAATATCACCTATACAACAATTACCTTAACAAGTAAAATCAAATTAATACATGTTGCTATACGTATGCTTGACCTTGGTGTTTACGTGTATGCATGGTTGTGTTAGGTGGGGGATTACATCATTCATGATAAGTACATATATGTAACCATAAGAGTATATGTACAAAGAACAAAGGAAGTAGTTGAAATTTTCATACATAGACAAGGCATTGTACATATCGCTAACATAATTAGTACCGAATCTGTTGATACAATTAACATAATTAATATTAAAAGTAAGTATTTAAAGCCAATTCATCAGGCTTTGCATTTATACGTATACACGTCGTTTTCACACGAGTTTTAGTAAATTAAACATATCATTACATTTATGAGAGTGTTTGTATATCACGTGACAATGTGTTAATAATAAATTGAATGTGAAAATATGTTTTTGGTAACAGGATGGATTTTCCATACATACTTTCAGGCAGAAGCTAGATTAGCCGCAAGGAGACAGGCAAGAGCTGAAGCAAGAGAAATACGAATGCGTGAATTAGAAAGACAACAAAAAGAGGCAGAAGAGAATGCGGATAGAGTTTACGATATGTGTTCAGGTATGCATTAAATTGAAAAGTGTATGGAAATATCATTTCATTGTAAAAAGGAAAAAATAGTTTTCCCTTAATTGTTTCAGCCGATGTTAATAGAACAATGAGAGTAACACCGGATTCCGTAAGGGCATCGCGTCTCCTTACGAATTCTAATAATTTTCAATCCAGTCGTAGATCTTCTGAAGATTCTTTGGAAGATGCTGGCCTAAGTAGAGATCTTAGGGTACTAGTTTCTTTTATTTTTTTTTTGCTCTTTACAACACTCTATTTCAGGGCCAAGAGTAACGATACCCGATACATTTACCAATATCTTCATTTCAGTTAGAGCTGAAGGAGTTCGAGGAGAAATTTAGGAAAGCTATGATAGCTAATGCTCAGTTAGACAATGAAAAATCTTCTTACGCCTATCAAGTTGATTTGTTGAAAGACAAGTTGGAAGAATTAGAAGAAACAGTTGCACAACTTCGTAGAGAACTTAGGGAAAAGAACAGAGAATCCGAACAATTGAAAAGAATCAGTCAAAGATTAAAGGAAGAGTTAGACATATGCCATGCACAATTAATAGAAAGAGATACGCTTATACAAGTATATATACATATATACATATATGATTAATACATCATAAAATTTAATCAGAATATTATTACTTGAAGTACTTCGATTTCAAAAATCAAATAATTTTAGGAAAATGGTTTAGTTATTCTCGAGGACGAGGAGAGTGAAAACGAAGATAACGAGGTTGAAAATGGTCCACGTCCAAGACGAAGAGTACTAGTCAGTACAGAAGCAGCAGAATTACTGCAGAATGCTGGAAAGGGTTCATTAGGTACCGGATTACAAGTAACAATCAAAGAAATCTATTCTTGTTTTCAATCAAATGAAATATCGTCTGTAAACCTTGCAGATGTTCGGCTGAGAAAATTTGCTTCTGAAAAGAAGGAATTACAGGATGAAATACGGCATTTAAGATTGGAATTAGAAGAGACCAGGAACCGTATTAGGTCCGAGAAATCGCCTGGTTCAGTATTAGGTGAATGTTTCTATAATACGCATATTGTTTCATTCACATGAAATTTCGTTCCATTGTTTTAATACTGTAATTTATTTTGACAGGTTGTTTGTCAGATTCCGAGGACGTGCAACGGGAAGCGAATAAACTGTTAGCCGATTACAAATTCAAGTTGCAAAAAGCAGAGCAAGATATGTCAACATTACAAGCCACTGTAGCTAGGCTAGAGAGTCAAGTGATACGTTACAAATCAGCTGCGGAGGCATCAGAGAAAGCGGAGGATGAATTGAAAGTTGAGAAAAGGAAACTTCAAAGAGAAGTCAGAATATATTTCTTACTCAATTGCGAGCCATTTTGTTCAAGGATGATTCTTAAATCAATCATATGACGTTTCCTTGTAGGTTAGAGAGACTCAAGGCCGCGTTGAAGAATTAGAGACAGCAAATTCTCATCTACAAAGGCGATTGGACAAACTTAAAAACGCAAAATCGGCTCTCCTGAAAGAGCTTTGACGGGACGGTTTCTATGGATCTGTACAATGAGTCTGCCATTTCCTTCTCTATTCTGCAAAAACCGTGTGCCGATGTTGCCTGGACATAAATATTACTTAACACATTGAATATAATTTATAGAACAAAAAAAAAGAACTTGAAATACGCATAATAACGTTATACGATTTTTAACTGATTTTCGAAGAAAATGTTGCCGCGAGCACGGGGTCTTCAAAATGTCTACCCGAGGCGCCATGCTCGCATAATTTATATTTACTTAAATTGCTGTGAAAGGAAGTTGCTGTTTTGTATTCAACATGTTCTTCACGATATACTAACCATTGTTCTGCGTTTCTCGGCCGGGAAGAGAACAAAAAAAATTAACAGTCTTTTTTTCTTTTAATGCATTTCAAGCGCTGAATTTGTAAACGATTATGAAATCGATTCGTAATTTGTACATTATTTGGAGAAACAAGCTGGCTTGTACATCATACGTGTGTAAATGTTCTCCGTGCTTTCTATACTTTCTCTATAAAAGACAACTTAGAAATGTAGGTATAGGCAACATCGAATAAAAGAGCAACAGCAGCGTATGTTCCCAATTAAGACAACATAAATAATTGCAATCCAATGATGTACACGTCAGCGAAAAAATAATTATATGGATAAGTGTAATTTGTTTTTACATCGAATAATTTATAAATATATTTCTAAAGATACGAGATATTTATAACTTCTATAAGAAACACGTTATAGTTGAGAGGAAAAAAAAAAGAAAGAAACAAGACATGAAACGGAAGCAACGATGTTCGTTTTCTATTTATCGGGACTTGACAAAGCATTTTTAATTTTATATCGCATTTGTTATACACCGGGAAACTTCGATATCGGAATCCGCATTTGCTCTCGCATAAAATTTTAGAAGTTTCCTTTAGTACCGATCGTATTACCAGGAATTCAGTGTTCAAAACTTTACAAGGGGTTTCAAAAGGTATGGTCATTTGGACTAAAAAAAGAATGTTTATATGAGATTACTGTGAAAAATTTATTGTAAGGCGATTTAATAAAATATCAGTGAAATAATTATTACAAAATTGGGCCTGTTTACCGACGTAGAGTTTTATTCAAATCGATTTCCCTTGTAATCTTATAAAAAAAAAGCTACGGCCACGTTCCTTTGTGTCACGTATATGTAGTAAAAGATGCAATGTTTCTTTAAAGATCAAGCCTAGTCCAGACTAAGGCAATTGTCCATGGAGAATTGTCTTTCAGTCTGGACTAG